ATTCTTTCCCTCCCCCAAAAAATTTGTCCTCTGAAACGGCCACTGCTCCGGATCATCACTCACTTGCTCCACCTTAACTCATTCCTGATCTCCTCCTCTACACGCGCCGACCACTCACATTGGAGTTTTTTGTAAGAATCTCTTTAAAATGACAAGCACCTTACAGTCACGTTTTCATGCGCCTCAAAACCAGACCCCATCCCATTTTGGACAATCGTCTACCACTCCCGTTCACTAGAATTTCAGAGTCCACGCTCCAAACCACTCCGCCCATTAAAGATAATTTTGGCCACATCCTGCGTACGCACCTACCTGTCTCTTCCGCTATAATCACCGTCGCAGCCGCCATGCGCCGCTCAACCGCCTCCCGCTCCGTCTCACCCCTCTCCGTCTCACCCCTCTCCGTCTCACCCCTCTCCGTCTCACCCCTCTCCGTCTCCCCCTCTCCGTCCCTTCCCCGCGGCCTCACCCCTCTCTCCCTCAGTCCTCGCGCCTTCCCGCTGATCTCCTTCCCGCGCGCTTGCTCTCTCGCTTCCCGCCGCTTCCTCGCGCTCGCTGCTCCTGGCCACCCCCACACCCCTTCCTGTGCTGCCTCCGTCACGGAATGGGTCCGACTCCGAGTCGTCATCGCCTGCCTCGTTTCTCCGGGATTGCCGAATTCCCCGTCACTTCCCGGTGCTCTAGCTCTTCCGCGTCAAGCCAGAGGCGGATATCGTCCCTATCCGCCATACTGTCCCTGCCAGCGATAATCTCCTACCTTCCTGCTAGGAGCAGCTCTAGGGCAATGAATTTGGGATGACAATTTTTGGTCAAGTCGGAATTTTGGTGCTGTACATTCAACCACTTTCGAGGCAGACCAGTGACTATCACTTCAACACAATGAACCCTTCTGTACCTTGGTGAACCGTGTCGAGCCTAGGAAGTTTGCGAACCAAACCTGGCAATATGGTTTGATTTTGTTTCAGATATGCATGTGATCACATAGAATTATGAGATTGCTTCTTCGACTGTGGCAAGTACTGTACCTAAATCGAAGTACTGGGAGTTGCTGATAGCGAGCCTAGTCCTCGTTTTTACCCGGGGGGGCTCCACTGTCCAAGTTGGTTCCGTTGGCGGGAAACTGTAAAGTTGACGGAAGGATTTTCGCCCGTTTCCCCACAGGCGGAACAGCGAGCCGCATGTCAAAATCAATCGCGTCGCTTTCACTGACAGACCTGATTGATCGAATCGCTCAATCGAGGATCACAGTGACAGCGGACATTCCGCACATTCCCAAACCAAATCATAATGCGGTTCGACTCGCGCCACCCTCAATCAGGCCATATCAAATTGTGGACCGCATGCCACCCCAGAGAAACCTTTTCCACCATTTATCAGACCACCCGAACAGTCCTCACCGCTGTATTAACTCTTCCCACCGCCTCCAAGCTGAGTCCCGAACACTTAATTCCTCTGCTTGCAAGCCCTACTTGTTCCGTCACCGTCACCCCATATATTGCGGATTCCCGCACTTCCCCATCGGAGAAGCTTGGGCGCCTGTCGCATCAGCCCAGCGGAGGCGCCAGTGGCAATTACCCCTCCCAAGTCAACGAAAAGGCCACCTTGGTCGCTCTTCGTGCAGGCTTGTTTCGTGCCCCACCGTCTCATACTCACAAAGCCTTTTCGTGGGCTCTCCGTCCCTGCCCTCCCCCACCCACGCACATCTCTTTCGCGCCAAAAGGAGGCACATCCAAACCCAGCTTCCTCGAAAAACACGAGCAAAATGGTATGGGATCGAGGGTGGGACTCTCCTTCTGCATGCACCCGGCACCTGTACTGGCACATGCATCGCTGTACTATCAGCGTCGGCTGCCATCCATTGCACAGCCTCGAAGCGGGTCCGCTTGCCGGGTCGGCGACGCCTGGTGACGGCGCTGCTCGATTCCCAGACGACCCCTTCCTCTACAAAGCCTTTACACACACGGCCGTGCCTTCACATCTCAAACAGTGCTTGATAGTCCGTTCCGCCCAGTCAACTAAGTTCTCGCACAGTCGGACCAGCGAGTAAACCGTAAAGCGAAAGGCGTCGTCAGATTGTGCATTAGACGTCCGTAGAAACCGCGCAGGTCGTCACGTCAGCTCGTCCGTATAAACCCCGCAAGCAGGTCGTCAGGTCTCAAGTCGGACCACAGGAGTGTAAGGCTCGGAGAAATCAGCTTATAAAGTGGCTCGCTCCTCCCTCTTCAGAATCTCCAAGGTAGCTAATTAACCCGCGATTCTCTTACCAATCAGCCCGCGGTTCACCTCTCATTCCGTAGCATTTCACTCTAGTTTCCTCATTCTCGCTTCCTCAAAACAGTTAGTTCTCGACAGTAGGTCTTCCTCACGAGTCGTCGACCTTCGAAGGACAGAGCCTAGCTCAGCGCTCCCGGCTATAGCTATAACTCAAACGCTTCCGCTCATCCCGCACCGCTCGTTCCATTCGCCATGAATCTCCACCGCCCCTCCCTACTCCTACTCCTACTCCTCATCTCCGTCGCGCTTCTTCCGCTTCTCACCTCCTCGCGCAACCTTCCGCCCAAGCAGCAGCCCACAGGCGGAGCGCTTCCGCAATCCAAGGGGCGGAACGCCACCGCGCCCCCCCGCCAACCCCGCCAAGGCGCAAACGGGACGGCTGCCGCGGGGAACCGGACGAAGGGCGGTCACCCGCACAAGGGGCACCATCGGGGGAACGGCACCGTGGCGGGGGGACCGAAAAAGGGGAACGGTACTGGCGCCGGGCAGCCGAAGCGTAACGGTAACGGCACGCCAAACAGTTCGCAAACGTCGCCGAAGCCTACGAGTGGGAACCCCAAGAATGGCGGTCAGAAGAACGGAAACGGTGGTCGCAGCGGCGGCGCGCAGACGAACAAGAATGGCGGCGGGACGAGCCAGCCAAAGTCGAACGGGCAGCGCCGGCCGAAGCAAATCGCCGAAGAGGAGAACTGTAGCAGGTGCGTTGAAAGTAGCAGTAGGATGCTCAGGACGCATACTCGCGCTTTTGGAAAGTAGTCGACTCAAAAGCAGATTGTAGCAGGTGCGCTGGAAGAAGCAGGAGGATGCTCAGGACGCATACTCCCGTTTGTGTGCCTGTTGTACGCGTTAGTATCCCCAGCGTCACTATTACCTCCCCATCCCCTTTACTAAAGAACCCGAACCCTCGCTCCTATCATATTCCCCGAAACCCACTTTTCCGACCTCCACTTAAAATCTCAACTCCTGTTCCCCCAATACTTCCGTTGCTTACCCTTACCAGCCAGACGCCTTGGCCTAGGCGATTAGAATGGATGCCTCTTCTCCTCCCTTCCCATCTCCTCCCTTCCGCTCCTCTGACTTGCACTCACTCCAATCCCTTTTCCCCCTATATACCCGTTCATTACGCTTGCCAGTCAGGCGTCTTGGCCCGAGGTGGTTGGAATGGCGACCTCTCCTCCTCCCTTCGCATCCCCTTCCGCACTCTACCGTCGTCCACTCACGATATCCGCCCCTCCTATCCCCCCTATCTTCCCGTGTTTTTTTGCCTTGCCAGCAAGACCTCTTGGCCCGAGGTGGTTGGAATGACAGGCGAAAAGGCTCGCGATTACATCCAGACGACCATGCCACAGTGTAACTGGGACGTGCGAATTATCCCGAGTAACGGTTTCGCCACGATGGATTATCGCCCAAATCGCATTCGCGTTTTCGTCGACAAGCAGGGCGTCGTTCGCGTCCCCCCTAGAATTGGCTGATTTCTGTACCCGTTACTACTCTACTCCAGCGGCCTCTCAGCGGTGCTGCTGTGCTCTTATCGCGTACGAGTTTAGAAGCTGATTTTTGGTGGCTGAGGTGGCTGCGGACACTGTAGTATACTGGACGGGGCTCGGACGACTAACCAACTGCTATTAGGGAGTAAACAGCTGATGATGATGAGATTACAGCGGATCATCCCAAACGGTGAGTAGGGAGAGCTGTGCCTACATCTCCGTCAGTGGCTGGTGCAGGGGCGCTTGGCCTATTGGCCTGTTAGCTTGTGTCCTCATTATAGAGTGGTTGTAGTGAGACTTAGGAAGTGCACAGGAAGCTTACAACGCGGATGTCAACTATACGTAGTAGAAACTCTGGACTAGCACCTAAACCTGTTTGCAAAATGTCATATTTGCTACTTCTAGTCATTTCAGATATTTCCAATCCGATTCTTCTGAAGGACACAGCAGTATGGGTACAGGACATTAGGAGCACTGTGTCATTCAAGAAATGCAAGGTGCTGTTGGCTGTTTCTCCCTCACCTAAACCAGAACCTGCATAATTCCTGTTGGATTTGGCAGTCTTTCGCTCCAGGATGGCAACACGGAAGAATCAGCATGACAGCGACCAATGGCCTGAACTAAGATACGGGTACTGCTATGTATGTATCCCATGCGTTCATAACAGACTAGACCATTCAACCAAGGGATCAGATACTGCCATGCATTGAGTTGAGACCTCAAACCATGACTGCCATCCCAAACATGGCATCCCAAAACTGCCACCCCGAGCCTGCCACCCCAAGCCTGCCCTGCCAAACCTATCATCCCTAGGCTGGATCGGCAGTGGAGGCGGCTGCCATAGCAGCGGCGATCCGAAGCACATCGAGAGCCTCGGAGACCTTAGCTCGGAGGGCGTCCGGTGACTGCAGCAGCATGAGCACCTCGCCCTTGTCCATTTCTAGAAGCATCCCGGTGATTTTGCCTGCGTGCTCCGGCTCCTGGCGCGCTACCAAGGGGTACAGCTGCTCGCCCAGAATCTGTGACGAAATCCGAGGAGAGAAAAGAAGCAGGGAAGGAGGCAGGGAGGGGAGGGAAGTAGAGAAAGGGCAGCAGCATGAGCACCTCCCCCTTGTCCAATTCTAGCAGCATCCCCGTGATCTTTCCAGCATGCTCCAGCTCCTGGCGTGCTACTACGGGGTACAACTGCTCGCCCAGGAGGTGAGGGGGGACCAGACAAAGAAGAGCATAGATTTTTTAGGGGGGAACGCAGGACTAAGGAGTGAATGGTAGGGAGAGGACGGCAACAGGAAGGCCGTCGATTTTTTAGGCGCCTGAAAAGAAAGGCGTTTGGCGCCTGGGGACTGCAGCAGCATGAGCACCGACACCAAACCATTTTGGAGACGCCTCGAAAATCGGTCCACTTTTCAAGGAGCCTAAAAAACACACAAGATCTCCCTGCACACCACCCCCCCTCTATCCTCTCTCCACTATCCTCTCACCCCAGCCCTCTCCCCTTTTTTCTAACTCACCGCTCTCTGCTGCTCCGGCTGTTCCCGCCGAGCCGACGCTACTGCTGCTGCCAGCACTTGGATCGGCACTGGCCCTCCCAACCCAACCCCCCGCGCACCCCTCCTCCCACTTATGCACTAACCCACAGGGAATTCTCCAGCCACACCACCGAACCCACCCACCGCTCTCTGCTTTTCTGGCAGTGCCCACGCCACTGCAGCTGCCAGCACTTGAATTGGCAACGCCCCCCCAAACCCCCCAGGCACACCCCACCCTCACGCTCTGCTCCCAGGATCATTGCGGCGAGACCAAAATTACACACACACACACACATGCACGCGCCCACGCACACGCCCGCGCCCGCGAACTCGCACTCGCACTCACACTCACTCTCTCACTCACTCACTCACTCACGCACACGCACACACACACACACACACACACACCCACCCACACCCACACCCACCCTCCCACACATCCACACACACTCAAACTCACCCACACACACTCACATACTCACACACTCACTCCCTCCCACACTCCCACACTCACTCACTCCCACACACACACATACACACACTCCCACTCACCGCTCTCTGTTGCTCTGGCTGTGCCGACGCCACTGCGGCTGCCAGCACTTGAATCGGCACCGGCCCTCCCAACCCCCCAGGCACGCCCCCTCCTGCGCCTCTCCCCCCCCCTCCCTGCACCCGCTGCTGCCGCTGCTGCTGTGGGGGAGGAGGCAGGGGGAGGACGGAAGGGGAGGGCGGAAGGGGAGGGCGGAGGGAGCACAAAAGAAGGGGAGGAAAGGAGAGAAACAGGGGGGAAGGATTGGCAAATGGGGGAGGAGCATTAAGGAATGGGAGGAGGAAGGCGGGGTTCGGACCCGCCACCATACCCCCCCTGACATACCAGCACCACACCAACACCATGCCCACACCACGCCAACCCTCACCTGCACAGGCGTGCCGTGCGCCCCCCCTTACTGCTACTGCTGCTGCTGCCGCATGTACACATTGGGGTTTGCCCCCCCCCCCACCATGCCCCTAGGGGCCATGCCTTGTGCGCCCATCCCCGGTGCTCCCATGCCTCCTGCTCCCACCCTTGCAGGCAGCACCATGGCAACAGTATACAAACTCTCACCTGCACAGGCGCGCCTTGTGCCCCCCCATACTGCTACTGCTGCTGCTGCTGCTGTTGCATGTACACATTTGGGTTAAGACCCGCCACCAGGCCTCCTGGCGCCATGCCTTGGGCGCCCATCCCCGGTCCCATGCCAACACACCATCCTAACTCCCTACCAACTCTCACCTGCACAGGCGCGCCTTGCGGCCCCCCATACTGCTGCTGCTGCTGCTGCCGCATGTACACATTCGGGTTTGGCCCTGCCACCATGCCCCCTGGCGCCATGCCTTGAGCGCCCATCCCTGGAGCAACCATCCCTCCAGGGAGCACCATGCCTGGTCGCATGGGCTGCTGGGGGTACGGGTATGCGGGCTGGTGAGAAGGGAAGGGGGCAGGGAGAGAGCAAGAAGAAGTGCACGTGAATACACATTGACTTTTGAGTCGACTCAAAAGTCACCTCAGGGACAGAGCAAGACGAAGTGCACAGAGTATGCTTTTGAGTCGACTCAAAAGCAGCTTTCCTAATGGCACAGCTGCTACTCCTGGTGCTTCCATCCCTCCCCCCCCCATTCCTGCAGAAAACACTATGCCCGGCCGCAGGGACTGCTGGGGGTACGGGTATGCAGGAAGCCTAGAGCGAAGGTCGTATCTAAGTAGAAAGCAAAAAAGGAAGGCCTCATCTGGCCAGGCATCATCCCCCACTGGTTGCCCGAAACCCCTCCTCCTGCCCCATCACTCCTCCTGCCCCGAAACCCCTCCTCCTGCCCCGAAACCCCTCCTCCTGCCCCGAAACCCCTCCTCCTGCCCCATCTCTCCCGGGAGGAAACAACACCTGCAGAAGTGTGGACGCTCCAAGCTCCAACTATTCCTCAGGGAAGGTCTCACCTGGCCAGGCGTCAAAGGAAGGTCTCACCTGGCCAGGCGTCAAAGGAAGGTCTCACCTGGCCAGGCGTCAAAGGAAGGTCTCACCTGGCCAGGCATCAAAGGAAGGTCTCACCTGGCCAGGCATCATCCCAGGCTGGTTGTAGAACCCGCCTCGCCCCATCGCCCCCATAGTAGCACCGGGAGGGGCGTAGTACCCCCCAGCACCAGCAGCAGCAACAGCAGGAGCCCTGGCGTTAGGGTTGGGCTGCCCCCGCTGTTGGAACATCGCCTGCAGCTGTGCCTGGCGGTAACACGGTCTCAACATAGGTGTCTATCACCTAACTGCTCTGAGCTGAGCCTCCTCACAATCAGGTCTCACCTGGCCAGGCATCATCCCGGGCTGGTTGTAGAACTCGCCTTGCCCCATCGTCCCCATAGCAGCACTGGGAGGGGCGTAGTACCCCCAGCGCCGGCGGCGGCAACAGCAGGACCCTTGACGTTGGGCTGCCCCCGCTGTTGGAACATCGCCTGCAGCTGCGCCTGGTGGTAAGAGTTTCACCTCAAGATAGGTCTCACCCGGCCAGGCATCATCCCGGGCTGGTTGAAGAAGCCCCCTGCTGCCCCATAGCAACTCCCGGCGGGGCGTAGTACCCCCCAGCACCAACGGCGGCAACAGCAGGCGCCCTGGCGTTGGGCTGCCCCCGCTGTTGGACCATCGCCTGCAGCTGCGCCTGGCGCTCCGCCTTGGGCTGGGCCGTGGGGTGGGGGGCTGTGCCAGGGGGGGCTGTGGCATGTGGCTATGCTATGCAAGGGGCCACGCGTACCAGATCGTACCTGGCCTTTCTGAAGCAACCAGGTCTCACCTGGCCAGGCATCATCCCGGGCTGGTTGTAGAACCCGCCTTGCCCCATTGCCCCCATGGCAGCACCCGGGGGGGCGTAGTACCCCCCAGCACCAGCAGCGGCAACAGCAGGAGCCCTGGCGTTGGGCTGCCCCCGCTGTTGGAACATCGCCTGCAGCTGCGCCTGGCGCTCCGCCTTGGGCTGGGCCACGGCCACATAGAGGGGCTTGCCCTTCACCATCTTGCTGTTCAGCGCTGCGAGCTGAGAACAAGGGTTTGTGGGAGGGAGGGGAGAGCAACAGAAAAGAAGGCGAATGGTTTGAGTGCCTGGCGTTCCGGCCCGGGCTGCGCCACTGCCATGTACAGGGGCTTGCCCTTGACCATCTTGTGCCCATTTTACTCACAGCATGGCGGGATAGGAAACATCGAGCCTGACACGCGCTTACTGAGTGCAGTCCCTGATCACAGCTTGTAACGGGTACAGAGTGTAGAAGATAAGCTACTCAAGATATAGGGTTCAGCCTCGGCCTCATTGGCGGAAAGCACAAAGCCAATGTGTGGTGTGTGTGATGGCAGGCTTATGCTACAATGAGCACTGTATACCATACCAGTTGTATTTTGAGTCGACTCAAAGTATACCATACCATGTACACTGCTAATTGCGTGCCCCACACCACACCCATAGTTATATCGAGTACAAAGTGTACAGCACGGGCTACTCACAGCCTTGCCAGCATCAGCCTCGTTGGCAAAGAGAACGAAACCAGCGCCCTTGCTGCCCCCCGTCTCGTGCTTGAGGATCTGAGGGGGGGGTTGGGTGGGTTGGTGGGGGGTTTGGACAAGAGGGGGGGGAAACACACGCACACACACACACACGCACACACACACACACACACACACACACACACACACACACACACACACACACACACACACACACACACACACACACACACACACACGAGTTGATTCAACAGCGCCCTTGCTGCCCCGCGCTTCGTGCTGGCGGATCTGAGCAGAAGGGGGCAGGTTGGTGGGGGGTTGGGTTGGGTGGGGGGGGAACGCAGGAGGTGGAGAGCAGAGGATGGAAAAGGTGTGACTTTTGAGTCGACTCAAAAGTCACCTCGAAAGGAGTCTGTTTTTGATGCGCCTCAAAAATAGACTCCTCACGCAGAGGATGGAAAAGGTGTGGAGCCAGAGCGCCCTTCCTGCCCCCGTCTTGTGCTTGAGGATGTGAGGGGGCGGTGGGCAGGTTGGGAAACAGACAGACGGCCACCAAGGGTGAGGGCGATTTTTGAGTCGACTCAAAAATCACGTGAGGATGTGAGGGGGCGGTGGGCAGGTTGGGAAACAGACAGACGGCCACAAAGGGGTGAGGGCGGCGCCCTTGCCGGGCCAAATGGACCTTAGCCAGCGCCATTGCTGCCCCCCGTCTTGTGCTTGAGAATCTGATGGTTGTTGTGGTGGGGTGGGGTAGAGCGCTGGGGGTAAGCATGGGTGAGGGGAGGCGGGATGAAAGACGAGTTGACTCATGGCTCAATGAGGTGACTTTTGAGTCGACTCAAAAGTCAAGACGAGTTGACTTGTGGCTCAATGCACAGCTCTGGAGGGGGCCCTTCAGGGGACTCAGTTCACATCACACTGCTGTCCGACCGAGCACTCTTGCTGCAAGATCTGCCTTGGGGTATGACCTCCCCAGCTTGCAGCTTGTGACAGGGCCATGCTCCTGAAGCATGGTAATTGATTCTTCTTCATCCATGCTCTTTTCCAGGTCCTTGAAATACAGATTACCGATTCTGTCTCACATGTTTGTAGCTGCTGACTCACATGTTTGCAGCTGCTGACTCACATGATTGCACCTGCTGACTCACATGATTGCACCTGCTGACTCACATGATTGCACCTGCTGACTTACCTTGCAGCTTGTAACATTGCCGTATTCTTGGAAGACCTTCATTCAGTCCCCCCCGTCCACGCTCTCCTCCAGGTTCTTGAAATACGGGTTGCGCCGCGAGTCACTCTTTCTCTCTCCCCTACCCAGCATGCATGTAGGAACTCACCTTGCAACTCACGACTCACCTTGCAGCTCACGACTCACCTTGCAGCTTGTAACATTGCCGAATTCTTGGAACATCTTCATCAGCTCCCCCTCGTCCACGCTCTCCTCCAGGTTCTTGAAGTACAGGTTCCTCTGCGAGTAGCGCTCCGTCTGCTTCCTCCTCTCCTCCTCGTACCGCCGCTTCAACTCAGCCTCTCTCTCCGCCTTCTTCTGCGCCCGAGCCACGTACCACACCCGCCCCACTCCCTTACTCGCAGTTTCCTTCTTCCCCCCCTCCTTCTTCTCCCCCTCCTTCTCTCCCTCCTTTGCTTCCTCCTTTGCTCCATCCTTCTCTGCTCCCTCATCTCCCTCTTTACCATCACTCTCGCTAGCAGCACTCTTCTCTTCCTCATCCCGTCTCTCAGCTTTGCTTTCTGTCCCCCCCCCCTCCTTCTCCCCGTCCTTCTCCCCCTCTTTCCCCCCCTCCTTCTCCCCCTCCTTCTTCCCATCCCGCTCCCCGTCCTCCCCTCCTTCCCCCACCATCACCTCCCCGCCCACCACCCTCCGCCCATTCACTCCAGCCACGGCCCTCGCAGCGTCCTCTGCTATTTCAAAGTTCACAAACCCAAACCCCTTACTGCGGCCATCGGGCTCCCTCATAACCACCGCGCTCTTGATCGCCCCAAACGCCGCAAACACTGTCAGGAGCTCCTCATCTGACGTCTCCTCCCCTAGCCCCTTCACATAGAGGTTCGTGTATGCCTGCTGCTGCTGCTCCCCTGCTCCGGCGCTCCCTCTCCCTCCTCCCCCTCCCCCGCTGCTGCTGGTGCTGTCATCGTCACCTGAGGTGCGGTCTTGCTTGCGCACAAATGGGCCCACAAACACCTGCAGGAGTCAGCGGGTGCAAGGGGAGGGGGGGAGGGGGAAAGGGGGGAAAGGGAAAGGGAGGTGCTGCTATTGTTGTCGTCACTGTTGCACCCTCTATAAGCTCACCTGCTTTTGTACCCGCTATAAGCTTACCTGCTTCCCTGCAATGAGCATGCCGTTGACTCTCTCGATCAGTGCCTTGGCCACCTCCTCCTTCTCAAACTGCACAAACGCAAACCCCTTCGACGCCCCACTCCTCTGTGTATACCCCCTATAAGCTCACCTGCTTTTGTACCTGCTATATAAGCTCACCTGCTTTTGTACCCACTATAAGCTTACCTGCTTCCCTGCAATGAGCATGCCGTTCACTCTCTCTATAGCTGCCTTTGCCACTTCCTCCTTCTCAAACTGCACGAACGCAAACCCCTTGGACGCCCCTGCTTCGTCTGTAGCCACGCGGCACGAGAGGATCGACCCGAACGCCTGAAACGTGTCGTAAAGGGCTTTGTTGTCAATGCTCTTGTCGAGATTCTGTTTAGTGTGTGGAGGGGGGATGGGAGCAGGAGAAAAAACAGGTGTAAGTTGGCCTGCGACAAACGCAAAGCCCTTGGGCGCCCTGGTTTCGTCCGTAGCCACACGGCACGAGAGGATCGACCCGAACGCTCCAAACCAAAGGTGTCATCAAGGGCTTTGTTGTCGATGCTCTAGTCAAGATTCTGTTTAGTGTGTGGCAGCAGGACAGGGGGAACGAGAGAACCAGCCATGCAGGTCAAGAGGAATCGGTGGTGTTTAGAGAATGGCGAAACAAAAGTTTCGCCATAAGTAAATCGATACCAAATTCCACTAAACGATGCGCACCTTGGTTATTTCAGATACCCGAAATAATCGAGATGCGTATCATTGCTAAATGCCAGTGGTGCCGCCCGCAGCCCACCTTGGTGCCGCTGATGTACACACCTTGATAAAGATGTTGCCGGTGCCGCTGCGCCTGATCGATGGGTCCCGATGCGAAAACATGATGCGCATGGGGCGCCCGGCCACTGCTGTGAAGTTGAGCAGGTCAAGGGCTCGCACGGCTGCACGATTGGAAAGGGGGGGCGGGTAGAGGAGGGGAGGGGGGGGGATCAAATGGTGCCTGATGGATGGGTCTCAATGGAAAACATCAAATGGTGCCTAAAAATATTGCCAGCGCCGCTGGGCCTGATGGATGGGTCTCAATGGGAAACATCAAATGGTGCCTAAAAATATTGCCAGTGCCGCTGGGCCTGATGGATGGGTCTCAATGGAAAACATCAAATGGTGCCTAAAAATATTGCCAGCGCCGCTGGGCCTGATGGATGGGTCTCAATGGAAAACATCAAATGGTGCCTAAAAATATTGCCGGTGCCGCTGGGCCTGATGGATGGGTCTCAATGGAAAACATCAAATGGTGCCTAAAAATATTGCCAGCGCCGCTGGGCCTGATGGATGGGTCTCAATGGGAAACATCAAATGGTGCCTAAAAATATTGCCGGTGCCGCTGGGCCCGATGGATGGGTCTCAATGGGAAACATGATGCGCACGGGGCGCCCGGCCACCGGGGAAGCACAACTTCGTGGTGGTTTTAGCCATACGTGGCTGCAGGCTGTAGAACACTGTTTTAGTTAGGAGAAGTTTTCTTGCTCAAAAGAAACTCTTGTGAGCTTGTAGGGTAATCTTGATGGTAATCTTGTTCAAAGGAAACTCTCATGGCGCCTCAAAACTCTCGTGGCGCCTCAAAACTCTCGTGGCGCCTCAAAACGAGGCGTTTGAGACACAGGGGAATCGCTGTGCGCCCTTGACCTTTTGAACAAGATGCATACGGACCGCCCGCCCGGCCACCGTCGTGACGATCAAAAGGTCAAGGGCTCGCACAGCTGCAACCAGAGGGCCCCCGGGACGTGGAGGAAAGGGGTGGAGAGGAGTAGCGAGGTCAGCACCATTGTGAGAACATGCGAGCGTGTGCGCTCGTGTGAGTTCGTGTGTGGGCGAGCGCGCAGGGGAATGGAGTCTCACCGTCCTGCGTGTTGCTGAAGTTGACATACGAGTACCCCAGCGATTGGCGGGTGTGTGTGTGGGTGTGCATGCGCGTGTGTGTGTCTGTGTGTGTGTGTGCGTGTGTGTGTGTGTGCGTGTGTGTGTGATCATGTGCGTGTGTGTGTGTGCATGTGTGTGTGTGTGTGTGTGTGTGTGTGTGTGTGTGTGTGTGTGTGTGTGTGTGTGTGTGTGTGTGTGTGCATGTACGTGGCATATCTACGAGCAGAAGGGCGTGAGAGAGGGACCCACCGTCCTGCGTGTTGCTGAAGTTGACATACGAGTACCCAAGCGACTGGCGAGTGACCATGTCGCGACACACGCGGATAGACGCAACTGGCCCCACCTGGGACCGGGGAGGGGGAAGGGGGAAGGGGGAAGGGGAAGGGGGAAGGGGGAAGGGGGAAGGGGGAAGGGGGGAGGGGGAGGGAAGAGGCAACGGCAAGGAGGGACGCGGCTGGGATCGAGATCGCCCACGTCGAGAGACAAGGATGCGAAGGAGAAGAGGTATGGCTCTTATGAGTCTTATGAGTCGACCCATACGTCACACGACCCATACGTCACACGGTCACTTCAACCCCAGCACCTGAGAGAAGTAACCGTAGGGCTACCTGCGAGGACAGATCCAAGAGCTGCGCCTCTGGGTGACTTTTGTTGTTGAGAATTCTCAAAAATGTGTTTTGTTTTTTAGAAATCTAAAAAACAGAACAGATAGAAGAGCTGGGCCTCTGAGTGACTTTTGAGTCGACTCAATAAAAAGTCACCTCGTAGGGCTCCCTGCGAGGATAGGTCGAAGAGCTGCGCCTCTGGGTGACTTTTGAGTCGACTCAATCAAGAGTCACCTCGTAGGGCTACCTGCGAGGACAGGTTCAAGAGCTGCGCCTCTGGATGACTTTTGAGTCGACTCAATCAAGAGTCACCTCGTAGGGCTACCTGCGAGGACAGGTTCAAGAGCTGCGCCTCTGGATGACTTTTGAGTCGACTCAATCAAGAGTCACCTCGTAGGGCTACCTGCGAGGACAGGTTCAAGAGCTGCGCCTCTGGATGACTTTTGAGTCGACTCAATCAAGAGTCACCTCGTAGGGCTACCTGCGAGGACAGGTTCACGAGCTGCGCCTCTGCGACGCTGGGATCGAGATGACTTTCGAGTCGACTCAAAAGTCAACTCTGTGACGCTGGGATCGAGATCGCCCCCAAAAAAAGGGCGAAAGCGCGGATGAGGGGGGGGGTTGGGGGAGGGGGGGGGTTCCTCGAGGCAGCTCACTGCTACCTTTACAGTACCTGCGAGAAGAGATCGAAGAGCGGCGCCTCTACGACACTGGGATCGAGATCGCCCACGTCGCGAGACGGGGATGCGGAGGAGGGCGCGAGACGGGGATGCGGAGGAGGGCGCGAGATTCGCGGACGAAGGCGATTTGGCGCTACCTAGGACCCCAGTACCTGATGTGCTTAGGTAATCGATCGTAGCGCTACCTCTAAGAACAGATCGAGGCGATGAGCCTCAGTAACACTCGGATCCAAGTCGCCGACGTTAAGAGACGAGGACACGGAGGGGGAGGAGGAGGAGGAGGTGGCTGAGTCAGTTTACCAATCAAACCCCCTGTCCCTGTGAGGAACAGCCCGAAGAGTTGGGTTGGGCCTCTGCGACACTCGGATCCAAAGTCGCCCATGTAGAGAGACGAGGACGCGAAGAAGGGGGCGAAGAGGAGGCGACTGCTGAGTCAATATACTAGTACCATTCCCGTGCCTGCAATCCAACTCCCCTCCTGTACCTGCGAGAAGAGATCGAAGAGTTGGGCCTCTGTAACACTCGGATCGAGATCGCCCACGTAGAGAGACGAGGACGCGAAGGAGGGGGAGGGGCTGGCAGACGAAGGCGACTGCAGCAACCCTGATTCGTCCACGTCAGCGCCCTCCGCGGCGCTGGTGCTGCTCGGAAGCTGCTGCTCCTGCTGCGACATGGTGCTGTTTGGGAGGGAGGGGAAGCGGCCGGGGGGGGAGGGGGTGGGGGGGAACGATGGGGGAAGGGGAAGGGAGAGGGGGGGGAATAAGAAAATCGCTTTGATTCTCGTGCTGCTCGGAAGCTGCTGCTCCTGCTGCGACATGGTTCTAGCGTGAGGGGTTGGGGGAAAGGTAAGGCGCAGCCGAGATTTTGCATGCAGAACCGAACGGCAGAGCCGAACGGCAGACTCGAACGGAAGCAAGAGAAAGTGGAGGCAGACGAGAAATCATGGCTGTCGGCGGAAAATCCGGGAATCGCATGATTGCCAGCAGGAGTATTTTAAGTTTACTAGAAACCATGATTACCGGCACATAAGCCACGGATCAGCGAGCGATCAGCAGCGAGAGGTGGATCTGATTAAACCGTGGTGCGAGCGCAGAGGACAGATCGGAGCAAAACCAGGCGAATGAAGGGGATGTGAATTCGTAGATGGATAACAGGTTGGATGGGAAGGCAATAAGGACGGATCAGCCATGTGAAGGCAATAAGGACGGATCAGCCATGTGAAGGCAATAAGGACGGATCAGCCATGTGAAGACAATAAGGACGGATCAGCCATGTGAAGGCAATAAGAGGATTTCATCACCTGGCCCGAATAATCGAGGCTAGCATGGGATAGGTTTAAAAAACCTATCACGGCAATAAGGACGGATGCCATTATCTGGCTCGAATTACCGAATCTATCAGCTACAAGCTAGCAGCTAAAAGCTAGCAAATGAAATCGACCAGCTTGAACCCAGCGACGGCTAAAAGCTAGCAGCAAAAGGGTAGCACATCGAGCCTAACAGCGACCCTAAGGGTGTCAATCCCATACTCGGTGGGAAGAGCTGGCGAAGATAGGAGAAAAGCGCGATCGTCCCACCAATGCGGGGAGAGATCCAGAAGAACACTTCGTGAAGCGTCTTAGAAACCGATCGGAATCTAAATATGCAGCAGAAGCACGAGCTTTAAGCCCGCCGATACTAGATTTGCCTGCGCTGCGAGGGGGAGCAATGGACTAACTAGCTCCAACTAGTTGCCAAATAGGTAAGGCAAGGCCCACACCAGTGTGGAAAAAGGGGTCTTCTAGGGAAGTAGTGGGGGATTTGGGGAAGCACCTTTCTCTCTGTACCCGTTAGAAGAGTGTAGCACGTACCGTTGTATCACATGCGATCATGAGTGTCGGCGAGTGCACCTCGAGATCTCTTGCGGAACGAATATACTTCTCCACTTGGAGGGAGGGGGGGTGCGTTGACTCGAACGTGGATCCTCTTTACGGTACATCCGTTACAGAACACAGTAAATAGCAACCGCTTAGATCACAAACTTCAAATTTGCCTGAATTCTCCCCAACATTGTAAACCATTTCCCTCATGACCCGACATCGTGGAGGTTTCCGCTGGCCCTGGTTTGGGCCCTTTTAGCGAGTTTTGGGCTCTGCCCGCGGTATGGAGCCCTAGCTCGGATTTAGGGAGCCTTCCTTCAGAAGGTTCAGCGGGTCCCCTCTAATGACTCCCAAACATTCGCTTGGTGGCTTCCAAACCTGCCCAGACAGACCCGCGGTCGAAGAAGCCGCGGGTTGAAGACTCAACTGCGGGTCTTTTGACGATTGTGCACACACAGGTACAGTAATCTCGTCGCAAAAGTGAGTCTCAAAAGTGAATTGAGACTGTGCATTGGCCGGTGACGTTCGGTCGACCGTTTAACAACATTGCTCGCCACTGTATTTTGCCAGCTAGTCGTGTGTATCCAATCAACAGCCGTCAGAAGTCGCGAGACCCAAGACCATCGGGTCACACCCGGGGCTCCAGAATCATCCCTCAGCCCTCCCCACCTAGGGAATACAGTACGGAGCTGGTAGATTTTAGGGGAGATAGTCTAGTCTGCAACTGCTACAGCACTTACCCGGTCAAACGCACCTTGGTTTCTTGTTTCCCCGCTTGTTTCAGCAGCAACTAGGTCACAATAAGGGCGCGTATGATTTTCCACCTTTTGGTGACGTTACCGTCACCACTCTGTACCGTTGTATTATATGACTGAAACCCATCAAATCAGTTTTGACCTCTCGAAAGTACGAACTCGAGGCTGGTTCGAACCTCATCCCACACGCCCTAACAGTCACGCCGTCTATGGTAGCTCGTCAAAACCGCGGAAAAAAGCGTTCTGGCCTGTCTTCCCCTCGTCACTTGTTATTAAATCTCGAGTTCGAGTCGATTTAGGCGTCCTGACTCCTTACTAGAGCTGCTTCCAGGGGAGAAATGGAGGACAAGTGCCCTTTCTGCGGCAGCCGGGATGGTGCGCGGAACCTTCCCGCTCTGCACGGTCCGGCGCCGAATCCGTCGCAGAACCCGTCGCAGGGCCAACCCAATCACCACCATCACCCGCACCCCACGCCGCATTTTACGCCGCATAATACGGCGCATCATGCATCGCATCAGCCGCCGGCGCCGGCGCCGTACGAGACGGTGCTGGTGGCGTGCGCGAGCTGCGCGCGGATCGTCGCGGAGCGGCGGATCATTCCGCTGCTGTTCGTTCCGCGCGCCGTCCAGGAAGCTTCCTTCTGCCTCCCCGCTAGGGACGTGCTCGCGCACGCGAAGCTTCGCCCGGACGAGGTACAAGCAGCCGCGAAAAAAATGGTGGAGATTAAAGCCGGAGGAGGTGAGGAAGTTAAAGCTGGTGGAACCGAGAGAGACAACGCAGCGCCAGAGACAGCAGCAGCAGCAGCAGCAGCAGCAGCAGCAGCAGCAGCAGGAGCAGATATAACTGCAGCAGGAGCAGATATGACTGCAGCAGGAGCCGTTTTTAAGGGGGAAACGGGAAAGGGCGTGGTATCCGTCGTAAAGCCAGGGGTCAAAGTGGAGATGGAGGAAGGGGGGTTGCAGAGGGAGGGGGAGGGGGAGGGGAAGGGGGAGGGGAAGGGGGAGGGGAAGGGGGGAGTGTTGAGGGGGAAGCGGGAAGAGACAGGAGGGAAGGGGGGAAGAAGGAGGCGAGTCAGCCGCTGGTAGGGTTTGATCTGAATTTTGATCTGAATATGGATGCGATGGACGGTGGAGATGACGCGACGGGTGGGAGGATGGACGGTGGAGATGAAGCGATGGGCGGGGGTCTAGTCTCGGAAACGCAAGAGGGTGAAGAGGAAGCGGGGGAGGAGGAGGAAGAAGAGGAGGAAGAGGAAGAGGAGGAGGAGGAAGAGGAGGAGGAGGAAGAAGAAGAGGAGGAGGAGGAAGAAGAGGGGGAGGAAGAGGAGGAGGCGGAAGAGGGCACAAGCCCCAACTCTCTTTTGTCAGAGGGTGACGATCCATCCGACCAATTTCTCGATGTCTTCTCGTCGCTCTCTCTCGAGTCCGGCCCGCCCCTCTTCTCCGCCGCCTCCCTCTCTTTCTCCGGTCAACTGGCGGAGATGGAGCGCCTGATTGGCCCGGTGCTCTACACCGGCTGCCCGGGAGGGTCAGGGGGCAGTGCTGTGGGCACAACTGATTTTTTGCGTGCCTATTTCCAGGTGAGTCTCTCAAAGTGGGGGGCTCCGCAGAAGGCCCCTCTTCTCCGCCGCCTCCCTCTCTTTCTCCGGTCAACTGGCGGAAATGGAGCGCTTGATTGGCCCGGTGCTCTACACCGGCTGCCCGGGAGGGTCGGGGGGGAGTGCTGTGGGCACTATGGCTGAGATGAAGCGGTTAATCGGGCCTGGGGGGAGCCCTGGGGGGGATGGTGGGAGTGGTGGGAGCGCTGGGGGAGCCCTGGGGGGAGTGGTGGGAGCGCTGGGGGAGCCCTGGGGGGAGTGGTGGGAGCGCTGGGGGAGCCCTGGGGGGGGTGGTGGGAGTGGTGGGGGGCTGTACTCTACACGGGTAGCCCTGGGGGGAGTGGTGGGAGCGCTGTGGGCGCGGCCGATTTTTTGCACGCAAAATGAGTGTGTTGCTACCCACCCCTCCCTCCCTCTCCCCTCAGATTCTGGAGTTCAGTGGTCTGGTCTCGTGGAGATCAACGGAAGCATCACCGACCGACCTTGCAGTGAATTTCTTCAGTGGCTTTGTGGTGCAAGTCCAGTCCAGAGTGCTCCCCCCGCCCCTCCCCCCACTCTCCCCTCAGATTCTGGAGGTCAATGGTCACGTGGAGATCAACCGGAGCATCACGGACCACGCGGTTACCCCATTCCGGGACTACGTGGTCTCACAGCAGGGGGGGGCAGGAACTGCAGCATCATCCTCTCTCCCTCCCTCCCCCCTTCCACCTGTACAGTACAGATACTCAAAGTGAGTGGCCTCCTGGAGATCAACCAGAGCATCACCGACCATGCTGTGAGAGGCAGGAGAAACAGAAGAGTGTGAGGCGTGCGCCCTCTAGGAAGTGTCTCATGCTGCTCTCTTGCCTGCCACTCCCACCCATACAGATTCTCGAAGTGAGTGGGCTCCTGGAGATCAACCAGAGCATAACCGATCATGCGGTTACCCTATTCCGGGACTACGTGGTCTCAGCAGGGGGAGCCCGCAACCGCAACATCGAGGCGCTGGCCACAGCAGCGGTGGTGCAGGCGATGCGGGAGGCGCAGGAGGCGCGCACCCTCCAGGAAGTTTCCCTGGTGGCGGGGATCGCGGTTAAGGAGCTGGGGAGGAGTCTCAAGGGCGTGATGGAGGTGCTGAGGCTGCAGCAGCCGGTGAATAGCAATTCAGTCTCCTTCCACATGCCGAGATTCGCGTCCATCCTGCAGCTGCGCAAGTCTACCCAGGTTAGTGTGTGCACCAAGCTAGGTCACTGTGTAGTGGCGAAGGAGCTGGGAAGGAGCCTCAAGGGCGTGATGGAGGTGCTGGGGCTGCAGCAGCCGGTGAGTTCTAACTCGGTGTCCTTCCACATGCCGAGATTCGCTTCCATTCTGCAGCTGAGGAAGTCAACCCAGGTCAGTGCGCCTCCTGTTGCTGCTCACTCATTCTCACTCACTCACTCACTCTCCCTGTCAGGTAGTGAGTGTGAGTGAGTGTGTTGTTTGACCCCTGATCACGCCCACGCCCATCTACCGTTTACTTTTCCTCCTCTCTCGTTCCCATTCGTCCCTCTGTCTTCCCTTGGATGAGGAGTCTATTTTTGAGGCGCCCGCACCCATCTACCGTTTACTTTTCCTCTCCTCTCGCTCCCCTTCGTTCCTCTGTCTTCCCTTGGTCCCTATCCCTTCCCTTCCCATTCGCTGCAGGACCTAGCAACACATGTAGGCGAAGTGGTGATTTCTTAGTCCTTCTGCACGCGCCACAACCCCATCAGCATCAGTGTAGTGCGGCGGCCATCTACCTTGTGTTTTCCCTCTGGTTCCCCTTGTCTCCATTCAGGACCGACCTAGCCACACACGTGGGTGAGGTCATAATAAGCAAGTCCTTCTGCACGCGCCGCAACCCCATCAGCATCAGTGCAGTGCGGCGGCCATCTACCTTGGTGTGGCTCGTACCTTCTTCCTCCTGCTTCACCTTCTCCGCTCTGACTGATTCCCCTCGGTCCCCCTCCGCTGCAGGACCTGGCAACCCACGTGGGTGAGGTCGTAATCTCCAAGTCCTTCTGCACGCGACGCAACCCCATCAGCATCAGTGCGGCGGCCATCTACCTGGCGTGTCAGCTGGAGGACAAGAGGCGGACGCAGACAGAGATCTGCAAGGCCACAGGGCTCACCGAGGTGCGTTTTAGTGTGGTGGAGTGCGGTGCAGTGCGGTTAAGTGCTATTTAGTGCGGTTTGATGCAATTCAGTGCAGTGCAATTGGGCTAGTATGGGCAGCATCATCATCGTCAGTGCGGCGGCCATCTACCTGGCGTGTCAGCTGGAGGACAAGAGGCGGACGCAGACAGAGATCTGCAAGGCCACAGGACTCACAGAGGTGTGTGCAGTGCGGTTCAGTACAGTGCAGTGCGGTTGAGTGTGGTTCAGCATGAATTGATGTGGTTCAGTGCGGTGAAAATGGGTTACTTAGCACAGGGGCAGCATCAGCAGCAGCGTCACTGCGGCGGCCATCTACCTGGCGTGCCAGCTGGAGGACAAGAGGCGGACGCAGACAGAGATCTGCAAGGCCACAGGGCTCACAGAGGTGCGTGCTTTACGGTTCAGTGCGGTGCAGTATGGTTCTGTTAAGTGAGGTGCAAAACGGGTTAGTTAGCACAGGGGCAGCATCAGCAGCATAGTGCAGCAGCACTAAGAAGGGCTCCTGTATGTGCGTATATCTATGTGGGTGACTATGTGTGCAGGTGTCTCTAAGGAAGGTGTACAAGGAGCTTCTAGAAGATGTGATGATCTACTCCCAGAGGGCTACAAGCCGCGCGATAGAAGTCTAGTTTTGAGGCGCCTCAAAACAAGATGTGATGATTTACTCCCAGAGGGCTACAAGCCCACCATCCCCGCTGACAGGGGCGCTAGCACTCAGTGTGTGTCGCTTCTGTGTCTGTGTGTGTGCCTGTGCCTGTGCGTCTGCGTCTTTGTGCTTGTCTGCGTGCTTGTGCGTGTGCAGGTGACTCTAAGGAAGGTGTACAAGGAGCTGCTGGAGAATATCGATGATCTGCTGCCTGAGGGCTACGAGCCCACCATCCCTGCTGACAGGGTCGCCAGCATGCCTCTATCCGGCCATGGGGCAGGCGGGGGGGGAGGGGGAGGGGGAGGAGGAGGGGCTGGGGGAAAGGGGGGAGGAGCGGGAGGGGGAGGGGGAGGGGGAGGGGGAGGAGGGGGAGGCCGAGGGGGGGGCAAGGGAGGGGGCGGAGGAGGAGGAGGAGGGGGAGGGGGAACAGAAGCGAATATTGCTGCGGCAGCAGCAGCAGGAGCAGCAGCAGCAGCAGGAGGAGCAGCAGCAGGAGCAGCAGCAGGGGGAGCAGCGGCACCTGTAGGAACAGAAGCGAATATTGCTGCAGCAGCAGCTGGAGCAGGAGCAACAAGAGCGGCAGCAGCAGGAGAAGCAGCAGCAGGAGCAGCAGCAGCAGCAGCAGCAGCAGGGGCAGGCAGGGGGAAGCTCACAGCACCGGGATTTGGGGCCCCTCCAGTGCCGTTCGCACCACACTCGCCCTATTTGCCTCTCCACACTTCCTCATCTGCCACGACAACGGCCTTTTCTGAAGCAGCAGCAGCAGCAGCAGCAGCAGCCACCGCTGCTGCCACAGCTGCTGCAGCTGCCATTCCCATTCCCAGCGCCTTTGAGTCCCGGCTCCCGACTCAAAAGCAGTCTCCATACGCTCCGTTTGGCTTCCCCGCTGCTCCTGTGTCTGCTGCCACCGCTGCTGCCGCCGCCGCTGCCACTGCCACCACTGCCATTCCCGGCGCTTTTGAGTCGACTCAAAAGCAGTCTCCCTACCCACCCTTTGGCTTCCCCGCTGCTCCTGCGTCTGCTGTCCCAGCTGCCACCGCCACCGCTGCCTTTCCCAGTACTTCTGATTCTGGTGGTGCCACTGGTGCCACTGGTGCTGGTGGTGCTGCTGGTTCGACTACCCCAGCAGCCTCGCATGTCAGTGCTTCTGTGTCCGGCCTTGGTAGGTCCAGCAGCCAGCACTCGTTCCGTTCTCCAACCACTGGTGCCCTTGGTGCCCCTTTTGACGCGCCTCAAAGTCATCACTCCTTCCCTTCTCCTGCGCCTGGTGCTCCAGGGGCGTTTCCCTTGGAGTCGAGCCAAAGGGCCCAAGATACAGGGGATCCATGGCAGCAGCAGATGGGCCGGCAGGATCTGCTACAGCAGCACCAGCAGCACCAGCAGCACCACCCGCAACAATATCAGCAGCAGCAGTATCATCATCATCATCAGCAGCAGCAGCAGCAGCAGCAGCAGCAACAGCAGCATCAGCAGTTTCAGCACCCTCAGCAGCAGCAGTATCCACACCAGCAGCAGCAGCAGCAGCAGCAGCAGCAGCAGCAGCAAGGCACACAGAATGCTCCTCTCTTCCTCCCCACTCACCCATCCACACACATTCGCCCACCACTCTCCTCCTCCTCCCCTCGCCCCCCCCTCTCTCTCCCCTTCCCCTCCTCCCTCTCCTCCCCTCGGCCCCCCCATTTCCTCTCCTTTCCCTCGTCTCACCCCTCCTCCCTCTCCTCCCCTCGCCCTCCTCTCTCGCTCCCACTTCCCTCCTCTCTCTCCTCCGCTCTACCCCACTCAACCCCCCCACTCCCTCCAGGCTCCTCCCCTTGGAAACGCCCTCCCCTGGTTCTACCTGCATCAAACCCCTCCCTCTCCTCCTCCACCCCGTACCCCCCTGCACCGTTCTCTACCACATCCTCTTCCTCCTCCCCTTCCCCCATGGCCCTGCACCTGCCTTCCCTAGCCTCAATGGCAGGTTCGGCACCAGCCACAGCAGCTGGTTTGGGGGCTGGTTCGGGAGGGATAGGCACGGGAGTTGCTGGTGCTGGTGCTGGTGTCAATTCTGGTGGCGCCGCTGCTGCTGGTGCTGCTGCAAGCAACAGCTCAGCCTTGCTTATGGAATCTTCCCAGAAGCCCACTGCCACTCCTCTTCTCTCCTTCACTCTCCCCCCCAGCTTTCACCACCACTTCTCTTCTTCCTCCCGGCCCCCTTCCAACGCTCCTACCCAGGGGCTTGCTCCCCCGTTCCCTGCCCCGGCTCTCTCCCTGCCCTTTCCGCCTCCCTCGGCTTCCCAACCGTCTCCCCTGCACGCTTCTCCCTTTGCTGCTGGCCCCTTCACGGCTGCTTCTGCTGCTACAGCCTCAGCTGCTGCTGCTGCTGCTACAACCGCCGGTGCTACAGCCGCTGGTGCAGCTGCTACAGGTGGGCTGGGAGGGTTTCAGCTGCTACAGCTGCCGAGTAAGGTAGCAGACCCCTTCCCTCGTGCCTCGTCCGACCCGAGCCTTAAACCTGCTGCTGCCGCCGCTGCCGCCGCTGCTGCTGCTGGTGCTGGGGCGTTTGGAGGGATGGGAGGAGGAGCAGGAGGAATGGGAGGAGGGATGGGAGGAGGAGCAGGAGGGATGGGAGGAGGGATGGGAGGAGGAGCAGGAGGAATGGGAGGAGGGATGGGAGGAGGCATGGGAGGAGGGATGGGAGGAGGCATGGGAGGAGGGATGGGAGGAGGAGCAGGAGGGGTTTCAGGAGCAGCTGCTAGTGGATACGACATTGGGAACAGTAGTGGTGGGGGTGGTGCGCGTGGTGGGGGTGGTGGGACGTTGAATGGTGGAGGGGCGAACCAGGAGGCAGGGACATTGGCAGGGAGAGGACGAGCAGGGGTAGGAGTAGGGGCAGGAGGCAGAATGGGAGGAAAGGGTGGGAGAGCGGGTGAGAGGGTGGTAGAGAGAGTGGTAGAGAGAGGTGGGCCAGGAGGGACAGGAGGAGCAATACCAGGGTCAGCAGCAGCACTGTCAGCAGCAGCAGCAGCGATGGCAGCACAACCAGGAGGCCATAATCAGCATAGTCAGCAAGGCTCGTTTGTACCACCATCGTTTTTAGGAGGTGGGAGCAAGGGGGAACCGGCAGGGGCTGAGGATGCGAGTAGCCCTTTCCGCTTTGGGGCAATGTTCCAAATTCCCCAATCAGGCCCACAGCCCGTCTCAAGCCCGTATCAGCATCAGCAGCAGCAGCAGCAGCAGCAGAGCCAGAGAGGCATTCATCTATCAAGTGCCAGCAGTGCTGGTTTTGCTGGCGGTGTTGCCTCTGCTGCTAGTGGTGGTGCGTTTCCTGCCGCATCCCAAGGTACAACTGCAGCTGCTACAGCTGCTGCTGCTGCTGGCGTTGCAGCTCCTGCTACAGCTTCTGGCTCGTCTCTTCCTGCCTGGATGACCCATGTGCAGCCGCAAGTGCACCAGCAGCACCAGCAGCACCAGCAGCAGCAGCAGCAGCAGCAACACCCTCAGCAACATCCTCCTCCGTTCTTTGCCCCTTTTCCCTTCGTCCCCCCAAATCATGCACATATGCCGCAGTTACCGCCAGGGTTACGACCTGAGCGCGTGGCAAACTTGGCCACACCTCAAGGATTTCCGCAGTTTCTCTCTGAGGCCAAACCCGGCTTGTTTCTGCAGCCGTTACAGCAGCCACCAAACCCCTCACAGAAGTGACAAGCTGTTGTCCATGGTAGTTCTCTGCTCGTTTATTTGGCATAGAGCTGAAACAGCATGCAAACAATGCTGTTGAATGTGTCCTGGCACGCATATTATGGTGTAGTAAATTCTATTGCGTGACAATATTGGTTATTCGTGTTCCCTCTCTGTAGTCCACCTCACCTTGGTTATTCGCTAATGCCGTCAGCTCCAAAGCTAGTAACGAGATCGCCTTTGGCTTCCACTCCACAAAATTGGGGGACGCCGACGTGGCTTCTCAGTCATCACCTAACGAATCCCTGAAGCGAATTGTCGTTCGCGGTTTGAGCTGACGCGTCACCGAAATGGATTTCTTGCGCTTCGGCGCAATTGTTCCCCGCATTGAACCAGCAACTCAGCACACGGGCCAATTGCGGAACCCTAGCTGAGCACATTCCCCGTTGCGGAACCAGAGCAGCGCGGAACTCACTTCCGCATAACCCCACTTGACTTCTTTCCGCCTTACCCCACCTAAGTTACTTCCTCCTAACCGCATTATCCCATGGGGCCGGCGCAAGCGTAGATTTTTGAAATCTGGAGAGGCTTGGAATGAGAAGCAGGAATATCCATCCCCTTGAAAATACCTGAAGTCCCTCTTTTTCCGGCCATTTTTTTCTGCTTGTCTTCTTCTCAGCTTGGCAAGGTCAGTCAGGCCAGAGTTAGATTCCCTCCTTACTTACCTGCAAGCTTCGCTTACGACTCTAACGTCGGCGTAGTCTTCTCGTATCCTTGAGGTAGATTCGAGGAAATCGTCAGCCATGGCTGCCGTTGCCAAGTGCACCGTCCCCGCATTCACCGGCCTGAGGAAGAACCAGACCTCCCAGGCTTCTTCCTCCAAAGCCGCCGTTCAGCAGACGGCCAAGGCGAAGACTTTCGCCGTCCGAGCGGTTGCGGAGCCGGCCGCTAAGAAGCTGACGATCGAGGAGGCGGAAGCGCGCGTGGTTGCGGGGAACCCTCCCCCCGCTCCCCCCGCCAAGCCCCGCCCAGCAGCTCCCAAGGGCACGCCGATCGTCGAGCCGCTGGTTTGTTTCCTACCAGAGAATTTTGAATTCCTGCCTCATTATTCGTTTCCAGTCTGCCGTAGCGGAGATCTCCTCCTCTCCTCGCCTTTCCTTTCCGAGAATCTTGAATTCCTGCCTCATCATTCGTTTCCAGTCGCCGTCGTTTCGACATTTTTTTTCGTTATTTCCGTTATTAAACGGTATCTGGAGGGATACCTGGTATCATTACTAAAGACCGATGCCGCCAGAGGAATTTAAAAAAGAAAACATTCGGGAATAGGGACATAAGGCGGTGAGTGTGCTGTGCGTGGGTGGTTGTTACCGAACCTTATCTCGCGGCCTCGTCACAACCGCCGGTCTCCGTTCTCGTTATGAGGCGTCTCAATACTAGACTAGCGCTGTGTGTGGGTGTTCTTGGCAGAACCTTATCTCGCGGCCTCGCCGCAACCGCCGGTCGCCGTTCCTGAGGGAGGCGTTCCAGGAGACGTTCGTCACGCCGGCCAACTTCATCCTCCCTCTCTTCATCCATGAGGGTGAGTTGGTGTATTTGTGGCGGGTGCGTTACATCATGGTGCGCCTGGTTCTCTCAGACGTTCGTTCCAGGAGACGTTCGTCACCCCGGCCAACTTCATCCTGCCGGTCTTCATACATGAAGGTAATGTCCTCCCTTCACCCCTGACGGTATTTTCCCCTTTCACCCATGATGAGGGTAATTTCTCTCTTCATTCATGAGGGTAATTTCCTCCCTTCACCGATGATGGTATTTTCCCCTTTCACCCATGATGAGGGTAATTTCTCTCTTCATTCATGAGGGTAATTTCTCTCCTCATTCATGAGGGTAATTTCCTCCCTTCACCGATGATGGTATTTTCCCCTTTCACCCATGATGAGGGTAATTTCTCTCTTCATTCATGAGGGTAATTTCTCTCTTCATTCATGAGGGTAATTTCCTCCCTTCACCGATGATGGTATTTTCCCCTTTCACCCATGATGAGGGAAATTTTCTCTCTTCATTCATGAGGGTAATTTCTCTCCTCATTCATGAGGGTAATTTCCTCCCTTCACCGATGATGGTATTTTCCCCTTTCACCCATGATGAGGGTAATTTCTCTCTTCATTCATGAGGGTAATTTCTCTCTTCATTCATGAGGGTAATTTCCTCCCTTCACCGATGATGGTATTTTCCCCTTTCACCCATGATGAGGGTAATTTCTCTCTTCATTCATGAGGGTAATTTCCTCCCTTCACCGATGATGGTATTTTCCCCTTTCACCCATGATGAGGTTAATCTCTCTCTTCATTCATGAGGGTAATTTCCTCCCTTCACCCATGATGGTATTTTCCCCTTTCACCCATGATGAGGGTAATTTCCCTCTTCATTCATGAGGGTAATTTCCCTCTTCATTCATGAGGGTATCTCCTGTGAAAGTAGAGCTGTGATTCCATGCACTACTTCCGCTACAAGCCGCTCGCCGTTCCTGAGAGAGACGTTCCGTCAATTACTAACGGAGAGGCTTGTTCTTTCCTAGTCGAATCGTACAAGGAAATATGGGAAACAAATGCAGCTTGCACCTGCCGCCCTCGTTTGGCACTGCAATAGCACTCCTCTCTTTCCCTCAACCAAGAATTCCCTTTCCTTCCCCTCTCCCCTCCCCCCCCCCCCCCCCGGCTTCCCCCCCTCCTCCCCGCCCCCCACCCCGGCTCTTGGTAACTCCGACCAGGCGTGGACGCGTCTCCCATCGGCTCCATGCCGGGGTGCTACCGCCTGGGCTGGAACACCGGGCTTATCGAGGAGGTGGGTTAGGAGTCCGAGGATAGCAGATTGTTCGTGAGTGACCCCTCCTTGACTTCTAGCGAGAACCCTCGTCCCGTTGGCTCCATCCCCGGATGCTACCGCCTGGGCTGGAACACCGGGCTTATCGAGGAGGTGGGTTAGGAGTCCGAGGATAGCAGATTGTTCGTGAGTGACCCCTCCTTGACTTCTAGCGAGGACCCTCGTCCCGTTGGCTCCATCCCCGGATGCTACCGCCTGGGCTGGAACACCGGGCTTATCGAGGAGGTGGGTTAGGAGTCCGAGGATAGCAGATTGTTCGTGAGTGACCCCTCCTTGACTTCTAGCGAGGACCCTCGTCCCGTTGGCTCCATCCCCGGATGCTACCGCCTGGGCTGGAACACCGGGCTTATCGAGGAGGTGGGTTAGGAGTCCGAGGATAGCAGATTGTTCGTGAGTGACCCCTCCTTGACTTCTAGCGAGGACCCTCGTCCCGTTGGCTCCATCCCCGGATGCTACCGCCTGGGCTGGAACACCGGGCTTATCGAGGAGGTGGGTTAGGAGTCCGAGGATAGCAGATTGTTCGTGAGTGACCCCTCCTTGACTTCTAGCGAGGACCCTCGTCCCGTTGGCTCCATCCCCGGATGCTACCGCCTGGGCTGGAACACCGGGCTTATCGAGGAGGTGGGTTAGGAGTCCGAGGATAGCAGATTGTTCGTGAGTGACCCCTCCTTGACTTCTAGCGAGGACCCTCGTCCCGTTGGCTCCATCCCCGGATGCTACCGCCTGGGCTGGAACACCGGGCTTATCGAGGAGGTGGGTTAGGAGTCCGAGGATAGCAGATTGTTCGTGAGTGACCCCTCCTTGACTTCTAGCGAGGACCCTCGTCCCGTTGGCTCCATCCCCGGATGCTACCGCCTGGGCTGGAACACCGGGCTTATCGAGGAGGTGGGTTAGGAGTCCGAGGATAGCAGATTGTTCGTGAGTGACCCCTCCTTGACTTCTAGCGAGGACCCTCGTCCCGTTGGCTCCATCCCCGGATGCTACCGCCTGGGCTGGAACACCGGGCTTATCGAGGAGGTGGGTTAGGAGTCCGAGGATAGCAGATTGTTCGTGAGCGACCCCTCCTTGACTTCTAGCGAGGACCCTCGTCCCGTTGGCTCCATCCCCGGATGCTACCGCCTGGGCTGGAACACCGGGCTTATCGAGGAGGTGGGTTAGGAGTCCGAGGATAGCAGATTGTTCGTGAGTGACCCCTCCTTGACTTCTAGCGAGGACCCTCGTCCCGTTGGCTCCATCCCCGGATGCTACCGCCTGGGCTGGAACACCGGGCTTATCGAGGAGGTGGGTTAGGAGTCCGAGGATAGCAGATTGTTCGTGAGTGACCCCTCCTTGACTTCTAGCGAGGACCCTCGTCCCGTTGGCTCCATCCCCGGATGCTACCGCCTGGGCTGGAACACCGGGCTTATCGAGGAGGTGGGTTAGGAGTCCGAGGATAGCAGATTGTTCGTGAGTGACCCCTCCTTGACTTCTAGCGAGGACCCTCGTCCCGTTGGCTCCATCCCCGGATGCTACCGCCTGGGCTGGAACACCGGGCTTATCGAGGAGGTGGGTTAGGAGTCCGAGGATAGCAGATTGTTCGTGAGTGACCCCTCCTTGACTTCTAGCGAGGACCCTCGTCCCGTTGGCTCCATCCCCGGATGCTACCGCCTGGGCTGGAACACCGGGCTTATCGAGGAGGTGGGTTAGGAGTCCGAGGATAGCAGATTGTTCGTGAGTGACCCCTCCTTGACTTCTAGCGAGGACCCTCGTCCCGTTGGCTCCATCCCCGGATGCTACCGCCTGGGCTGGAACACCGGGCTTATCGAGGAGGTGGGTTAGGAGTCCGAGGATAGCAGATTGTTCGTGAGTGACCCCTCCTTGACTTCTAGCGAGGACCCTCGTCCCGTTGGCTCCATCCCCGGATGCTACCGCCTGGGCTGGAACACCGGGCTTATCGAGGAGGTGGGTTAGGAGTCCGAGGATAGCAGATTGTTCGTGAGTGACCCCTCCTTGACTTCTAGCGAGGACCCTCGTCCCGTTGGCTCCATCCCCGGATGCTACCGCCTGGGCTGGAACACCGGGCTTATCGAGGAGGTGGGTTAGGAGTCCGAGGATAGCAGATTGTTCGTGAGTGACCCCTCCTTGACTTCTAGCGAGGACCCTCGTCCCGTTGGCTCCATCCCCGGATGCTACCGCCTGGGCTGGAACACCGGGCTTATCGAGGAGGTGGGTTAGGAGTCCGAGGATAGCAGATTGTTCGTGAGTGACCCCTCCTTGACTTCTAGCGAGGACCCTCGTCCCGTTGGCTCCATCCCCGGATGCTACCGCCTGGGCTGGAACACCGGGCTTATCGAGGAGGTGGGTTAGGAGTCCGAGGATAGCAGATTGTTCGTGAGTGACCCCTCCTTGACTTCTAGCGAGGACCCTCGTCCCGTTGGCTCCATCCCCGGATGCTACCGCCTGGGCTGGAACACCGGGCTTATCGAGGAGGTGGGTTAGGAGTCCGAGGATAGCAGATTGTTCGTGAGTGACCCCTCCTTGACTTCTAGCGAGGACCCTCGTCCCGTTGGCTCCATCCCCGGATGCTACCGCCTGGGCTGGAACACCGGGCTTATCGAGGAGGTGGGTTAGGAGTCCGAGGATAGCAGATTGTTCGTGAGTGACCCCTCCTTGACTTCTAGCGAGGACCCTCGTCCCGTTGGCTCCATCCCCGGATGCTACCGCCTGGGCTGGAACACCGGGCTTATCGAGGAGGTGGGTTAGGAGTCCGAGGATAGCAGATTGTTCGTGAGTGACCCCTCCTTGACTTCTAGCGAGGACCCTCGTCCCGTTGGCTCCATCCCGGATGCTACCGCCTGGGCTGGAACACCGGGCTTATCGAGGAGGTGGGTTAGGAGTCCGAGGATAGCAGATTGTTCGTGAGTGACCCCTCCTTGACTTCTAGCGAGGACCCTCGTCCCGTTGGCTCCATCCCCGGATGCTACCGCCTGGGCTGGAACACCGGGCTTATCGAGGAGGTGGGTTAGGAGTCCGAGGATAGCAGATTGTTCGTGAGTGACCCCTCCTTGACTTCTAGCGAGGACCCTCGTCCCGTTGGCTCCATCCCCGGATGCTACCGCCTGGGCTGGAACACCGGGCTTATCGAGGAGGTGGGTTAGGAGTCCGAGGATAGCAGATTGTTCGTGAGTGACCCCTCCTTGACTTCTAGCGAGGACCCTCGTCCCGTTGGCTCCATCCCCGGATGCTACCGCCTGGGCTGGAACACCGGGCTTATCGAGGAGGCGGGTTAGGAGTCCGAGGATAGCAGATTGTTCGTGAGTGACCCCTCCTTGACTTCTAGCGAGGACCCTCGTCCCGTTGGCTCCATCCCCGGATGCTACCGCCTGGGCTGGAACACCGGGCTTATCGAGGAGGTGGGTTAGGAGTCCGAGGATAGCAGATTGTTCGTGAGTGACCCCTCCTTGACTTCTAGCGAGGACCCTCGTCCCGTTGGCTCCATCCCCGGATGCTACCGCCTGGGCTGGAACACCGGGCTTATCGAGGAGGTGGGTTAGGAGTCCGAGGATAGCAGATTGTTCGTGAGTGACCCCTCCTTGACTTCTAGCGAGGACCCTCGTCCCGTTGGCTCCATCCCCGGATGCTACCGCCTGGGCTGGAACACCGGGCTTATCGAGGAGGTGGGTTAGGAGTCCGAGGATAGCAGATTGTTCGTGAGTGACCCCTCCTTGACTTCTAGCGAGGACCCTCGTCCCGTTGGCTCCATCCCCGGATGCTACCGCCTGGGCTGGAACACCGGGCTTATCGAGGAGGTGGGTTAGGAGTCCGAGGATAGCAGATTGTTCGTGAGTGACCCCTCCTTGACTTCTAGCGAGGACCCTCGTCCCGTTGGCTCCATCCCCGGATGCTACCGCCTGGGCTGGAACACCGGGCTTATCGAGGAGGTGGGTTAGGAGTCCGAGGATAGCAGATTGTTCGTGAGTGACCCCTCCTTGACTTCTAGCGAGGACCCTCGTCCCGTTGGCTCCATCCCCGGATGCTACCGCCTGGGCTGGAACACCGGGCTTATCGAGGAGGTGGGTTAGGAGTCCGAGGATAGCAGATTGTTCGTGAGTGACCCCTCCTTGACTTCTAGCGAGGACCCTCGTCCCGTTGGCTCCATCCCCGGATGCTACCGCCTGGGCTGGAACACCGGGCTTATCGAGGAGGTGGGTTAGGAGTCCGAGGATAGCAGATTGTTCGTGAGTGACCCCTCCTTGACTTCTAGCGAGGACCCTCGTCCCGTTGGCTCCATCCCCGGATGCTACCGCCTGGGCTGGAACACCGGGCTTATCGAGGAGGTGGGTTAGGAGTCCGAGGATAGCAGATTGTTCGTGAGTGACCCCTCCTTGACTTCTAGCGAGGACCCTCGTCCCGTTGGCTCCATCCCCGGATGCTACCGCCTGGGCTGGAACACCGGGCTTATCGAGGAGGTGGGTTAGGAGTCCGAGGATAGCAGATTGTTCGTGAGTGACCCCTCCTTGACTTCTAGCGAGGACCCTCGTCCCGTTGGCTCCATCCCCGGATGCTACCGCCTGGGCTGGAACACCGGGCTTATCGAGGAGGTGGGTTAGGAGTCCGAGGATAGCAGATTGTTCGTGAGTGACCCCTCCTTGACTTCTAGCGAGGACCCTCGTCCCGTTGGCTCCATCCCCGGATGCTACCGCCTGGGCTGGAACACCGGGCTTATCGAGGAGGTGGGTTAGGAGTCCGAGGATAGCAGATTGTTCGTGAGTGACCCCTCCTTGACTTCTAGCGAGGACCCTCGTCCCGTTGGCTCCATCCCCGGATGCTACCGCCTGGGCTGGAACACCGGGCTTATCGAGGAGGTGGGTTAGGAGTCCGAGGATAGCAGATTGTTCGTGAGTGACCCCTCCTTGACTTCTAGCGAGGACCCTCGTCCCGTTGGCTCCATCCCCGGATGCTACCGCCTGGGCTGGAACACCGGGCTTATCGAGGAGGTGGGTTAGGAGTCCGAGGATAGCAGATTGTTCGTGAGTGACCCCTCCTTGACTTCTAGCGAGGACCCTCGTCCCGTTGGCTCCATCCCCGGATGCTACCGCCTGGGCTGGAACACCGGGCTTATCGAGGAGGTGGGTTAGGAGTCCGAGGATAGCAGATTGTTCGTGAGTGACCCCTCCTTGACTTCTAGCGAGGACCCTCGTCCCGTTGGCTCCATCCCCGGATGCTACCGCCTGGGCTGGAACACCGGGCTTATCGAGGAGGTGGGTTAGGAGTCCGAGGATAGCAGATTGTTCGTGAGTGACCCCTCCTTGACTTCTAGCGAGGACCCTCGTCCCGTTGGCTCCATCCCCGGATGCTACCGCCTGGGCTGGAACACCGGGCTTATCGAGGAGGTGGGTTAGGAGTCCGAGGATAGCAGATTGTTCGTGAGTGACCCCTCCTTGACTTCTAGCGAGGACCCTCGTCCCGTTGGCTCCATCCCCGGATGCTACCGCCTGGGCTGGAACACCGGGCTTATCGAGGAGGTGGGTTAGGAGTCCGAGGATAGCAGATTGTTCGTGAGTGACCCCTCCTTGACTTCTAGCGAGGACCCTCGTCCCGTTGGCTCCATCCCCGGATGCTACCGCCTGGGCTGGAACACCGGGCTTATCGAGGAGGTGGGTTAGGAGTCCGAGGATAGCAGATTGTTCGTGAGTGACCCCTCCTTGACTTCTAGCGAGGACCCTCGTCCCGTTGGCTCCATCCCCGGATGCTACCGCCTGGGCTGGAACACCGGGCTTATCGAGGAGGTGGGTTAGGAGTCCGAGGATAGCAGATTGTTCGTGAGTGACCCCTCCTTGACTTCTAGCGAGGACCCTCGTCCCGTTGGCTCCATCCCTGGATGCTACCGCCTGGGCTGGAACACCGGGCTTATCGAGGAGGTGGGTTAGGAGTCCGAGGATAGCAGATTGTTCGTGAGTGACCCCTCCTTGACTTCTAGCGAGGACCCTCGTCCCGTTGGCTCCATCCCCGGATGCTACCGCCTGGGCTGGAACACCGGGCTTATCGAGGAGGTGGGTTAGGAGTCCGAGGATAGCAGATTGTTCGTGAGTGACCCCTCCTTGACTTCTAGCGAGGACCCTCGTCCCGTTGGCTCCATCCCCGGATGCTACCGCCTGGGCTGGAACACCGGGCTTATCGAGGAGGTGGGTTAGGAGTCCGAGGATAGCAGATTGTTCGTGAGTGACCCCTCCTTGACTTCTAGCGAGGACCCTCGTCCCGTTGGCTCCATCCCCGGATGCTACCGCCTGGGCTGGAACACCGGGCTTATCGAGGAGGTGGGTTAGGAGTCCGAGGATAGCAGATTGTTCGTGAGTGACCCCTCCTTGACTTCTAGCGAGGACCCTCGTCCCGTTGGCTCCATCCCCGGATGCTACCGCCTGGGCTGGAACACCGGGCTTATCGAGGAGGTGGGTTAGGAGTCCGAGGATAGCAGATTGCTCGTGAGTGACCCCTCCTTGACTTCTAGCGAGGACCCTCGTCCCGTTGGCTCCATGCCCGGATGCTACCGCCTGGGCTGGAACACCGGGCTTATCGAGGAGGTGGGTTAGGAGTCCGAGGATAGCAGATTGTTCGTGAGTGACCCCTCCTTGACTTCTAGCGAGGACCCTCGTCCCGTTGGCTCCATCCCCGGATGCTACCGCCTGGGCTGGAACACCGGGCTTATCGAGGAGGTGGGTTAGGAGTCCGAGGATAGCAGATTGTTCGTGAGTGACCCCTCCTTGACTTCTAGCGAGGACCCTCGTCCCGTTGGCTCCATGCCCGGATGCTACCGCCTGGGCTGGAACACCGGGCTTATCGAGGAGGTGGGTTAGGAGTCCGAGGATAGCAGATTGTTCGTGAGTGACCCCTCCTTGACTTCTAGCGAGGACCCTCGTCCCGTTGGCTCCATGCCCGGATGCTACCGCCTGGGCTGGAACACCGGGCTTATCGCTGAGGAGAACTCACAGTTTCGAACTAGCAGATGGTCCCTCTCTCGGTAGTCCCTTAGCTCTCTTTGCATCTCCCGATTTCGATCGGCTCCATGTCGGGGTGCTACCTCTTCGGCTGGAACACTGGGCTTGTTCAAAGCCGTGCCTGAGCGCTCCGCCCACTCCGTGCCTGAGCGTTCTCCCCTAAGTCTCACGTGTCGTTTCCCACGCCCACAGGTGTACAAGGCGCGCGACGCCCATCGTCTTTCTCCCAACCTCCCCACAGGTGTACAAGGCGCGCGACGTGGGAGCCAACCAGGTCGTGCTCTTCCCCGAAGCCCTGTGCACCGCCCCGCCTCTTGGTCGTTTTACCCTGACGCTCTTGGCACTCTTATTTCCCTACGCCCTACGCCCATCGTCTTTCTCCCAACCTCCCCACAGGTGTACAAGGCGCGCGACGTGGGAGTCAACCAAGTCGTGCTCTTCCCCAAAGTTCCTGATGCCCTCAAGGTAAAGCCCTATGATGATGGGTGCGCATACGTGGATACCATACCAGTGTCATGATGATGGGTGTTCTTGTGCTCCGAACCGGAGTTTTTCTCTCCTTTGTTGCCTCTCAGGCAGCCGGACGTTTCCCTTCCGACTGTGTCCGTTCGTTTTTTACCTAACTGCTGTTTCCCCCCAGACCCCCACAGCTGATGAGGCGTACAACCCTGACGGCATTGTGCCCCGCAGCATCCGCCTTCTTGGTGTGCGACGTCTCCAACCTCACTTGTATTCACGTGCTTCTCCCCCCCCCCAGACCCCCACGGCAGACGAGGCGTACAACCCCGACGGCATTGTGCCCCGCAGCATCCGCCTGCTCAAGGACAAGTTCCCCGACCTCGTGAGTGCCTGCCGTGACACCCTGATCTCGTGCCCCGTTACTCTGTGTGTGAGTGAGATACCTGATAACGCAGCGGCCGCTTGCTCTGCTCAAGGACACGTTCCCCGACCTCGTGAGTGCCTGCCTTTGACACCCCGATCGCCTGGCATGACTGTTTGAGTGAGACGTCTCAAGAAGCAGCATCCCTAGTTCCCCCCCTCCTCCCAAACCCTCCCACTTCCCCCCTTCTCCCCCTCCTCCTCCCCTTCCCCCCCGCACCCTCCCCTTCCCCCCCCCCCTACCCTCCGCCTCTTCCATTTTGCTGTCTCATCACTGTCCTTCTGACGTGACGTGGCACCCATCCAGATCATCTACACTGACGTGGCACTGGACCCGTACAACTCGGACGGCCACGATGGCATCGTGAGGGAGGATGGCGTGATCATGAACGACGAGACCGTGCACCAGCTGTGCCTGCAGGCCGTTGCCCAGGTATGCTTATAGCGAGCATAGTGTGTGCGAGTATAGTGGTGAGCCCGAGCGACATGATGGACGGCCGTGTGGGCGCTCGCACCATGCACACCGCTCATGCTAGTTATTCTCCCCTCCCCCCTCTACCATCCTTCTCCTCCCCCCCTTTTTCTTGTGACTCAGGCGCGGGCAGGGGCAGATGTGGTGAGCCCGAGTGACATGATGGACGGCCGTGTGGGCGCTCGCACCATGCACACTGCTCATGCTAGTTATTCTCCCCTCTCCCCTCTACCGTCCTCCTCCCCCCCTTTTTCGTGTGACCAGGCGCGGGCAGGGGCGGATGTGGTGAGCCCCAGCGACATGATGGACGGCCGTGTGGGCGCCATCCGCGCTGCTCTGGACGACGAGGGCTTTAACGAGGTGTCAATCATGTCGTACACCGCCAAGTGAGTGAGCCTTTCCCCTCTGCCAAGCTACTCACCCATGACGAGACTCGTTGAGTCATGGTTGAGTCTTTTTCTTGCCTGGGACTCAACCATGAGCCATCCGCGCTGCTCTGGACGACAAGGGCTTTAACGAGGTGTCCATCATGGCATACACCGCCCTCCACCCCTCTGCATCCCTCTGCATGGTGAGTGAGTAGTGCGTGAGTTGAGTTGTGAGTGGTGCGCAACACTCCACCCCTCTGTATCCCTCTGGACCCCATTTCCATGATTCCCCGTTTCCCCTGTTTCTCCCCTCGCAGATACGCGCCAGTGCATTCTTGTTTTGAGGCGCCTCAAAACTAGATACGCGCCAGTGCATCCTACGGGGAAGCGGAGCAACATGGGTGTGTAACGAGTCGATTTTTGAGTCGACTCAAAACTCGACTCATTACACACGGATTCTACGGGAAAGCGGAGCAACATGGAAATGGGGTTCAGAGGGATGCAGTGCGTTCTACGGGCCATTCAGAGAAGCCCTTGACTCGAATTCCCGCTTTGTTGTATCAACCACCCTCCTCCACCCCTCTCCACCCCTCTGCATCCCCCTGAACCCCCCTTCGCCCTTGGTCGACTGCAGGTATGCCTACGGTCCCTTCAGGGAAGCCCTCGACTCCAACTCCCGCTTTGCGCTATTAACCACCCTCCTCCACCCTCTCCACTCCTCTCCACCCCTCTGCATCCCCCTGAAACCCCCTTCACCTTTGATCATCTGCAGGTATGCCAGCGCGTTCTATGGCCCCTTCAAGGAAGCCCTCAACTCCAACCCCCGCTTCGCTGCAACATCCGCCCGTTTTCACCCTTATGTATCCCCCTCCACCCCTCTGCATCCCCTTCATCAATGTTCCCCTGCAGGTATGCCAGCGCGTTCTATGGCCCCTTCAGGGAAGCCCTTGACTCCAACCCCCGCTTTGGCGACAAGAAGACGTGAGTTTGTGCTGCCCTGCCTTGTCTGCTCCCTCCTGCCCTCCACCATCCTATGCTCAAATCAGCCTCCCTACCCCCCCCCCCTCGCCCCCGAGAAGGCTTTTAATAAACAACTTGCCTATGCCTATGTGCAGCCATTTACGTACCGTGTATTTGTACTGTTTATATGCCCCCCTGCCCTTATTTCACATGAGCAGGTACCAGATGAACCCTGGTAACTACCGGGAGGCGCTTATTGAGACACACGCGGATGAGAGCGAGGGGGCAGACATCATGATGGTGAGACTCTCATTGCTACGCATGGATATCCGCAAAGATATCTCTGAGTCTCTCATCCACCTGCTGTGGGGCAACACGGCACCGCCCATCACATGCGGACGAGAGCGAGGGGGCTGGCAGCATGATGGTGAGACTCTTATTGTTATATCTCTGCTTTTCAGGCGCCTCAAAAGCTTCTATATCTCTGTTTCTTTCTTTCTCGAAAATATATCGGTAAGCGAAGCACAGCCAACGATCAAGGTCTCACTCACCGTAACGCCTGCACAAGGCACCGTGCCTTATCTCGATCGACGTGATCCGCCTGCTGAGGGACAACACGGCGCGGCCCCAAGTGGTACTCAAAGCATGGCAAAAGAACAAGGTCTCACTCGCCATGACGCCGGCACATGCGGGTGAGTGTGAGGGAGCTGGCATCCCTACTGGTGCACTTGGCTCCCTTACCTGGACGTGCTTTGAGACGTCTCAAAGCTCACCATGACGCCTGCACATGCGGGTGAGTGTGAGGGAGCTGGCATCCTCATAGTGCACATGGCGCCATGCCTTACCTCGATGTGATCCGCCCGTTGAGGGACGACACGGCTCTGCCCATCTCAGCCTACCAGGTGTCGGGCGAGTACGCCATGATCAACACACTCACCTCCACCTCTCCCATTCCCCTTCCCTATGGCCCCGTCTCTTCTGCTGCCTGTGCCCCGATCTATTACCCCCTTGGCCCTCAGGTCAAGCCTGCCATGCCTTACCTCGACGTGATTTGTCTGCTCCGCGACAACACAGCTCTGCCCATCTCAGCCTGCCAGGTGTCGGGCGAGTACGCCATGATCAAAGGTCTCACTTCCTCCCTCCCCCCCCCCTCTTCCCCCTTTCCTGACTGCCAGGTCAAGTCCGCCATGCCTCACCTGGACGTGATCTGCCTGCTAAGCGACAACACAGCGCTCCCCATCTCGGCCTACCAGGTGTCGGGGGAGTACGCCATGATCAAGGCACTCACTTTCTCCCTTCCCCCCTTCCCTGTGTTCCCTGCTCCCTGTGCCCCTCTCCTGACTGCCAGGTCAAGCCCGCCATGCCTTACCTGGATGTGATCCGCCTGCTGAGGGACAACACAGCTCTGCCCATCTCAGCCTACCAGGTGTCTGGCGAGTACGCCATGATCAAGGCGGCAGCAGCCAACGGGTGGCTGGACGAGAAGAAGGCGGTGCTTGAGTCGCTCCTGTGCATCAAGCGAGCTGGCGCTGATGTCATCCTGACGTACTTTGCCACCCAGGCTGCGCAGTACCTGGCCGGGGAGAGACGGTAAATAGGAGAGCTGAGCTGATGGTTGGTGGATTGGAGTTTGTTAGTGTACTCAATGCATGGTAAAGGCAGTGTTCTGACGCACTTTGCCACCCAGGCTGTCCAGTACCTGGCCGGGGATTGATGGTAGATGATGGGAGATAACTTGCTGTTTGAGTAAGGCTGGGAAAAGTCATGTGTTACTTTAAAAAGAGCGTGATGTCCCACCTTATGCGGTGCCACCTTTCCTGCTGGCCTGTGCAGTGCTATACCTGCGCGTTGGAATGTAGAAATCATGTGGGTCATGCAGTGTTGTAGGATTAGCAATGGATGATGAATGCCTTCTTGCAGTGTTGTAGGATTGGCAAATTGGCAATAGATTAATGCCTAGATGTGTGTTTGCTTTGTGCGATGTCTTACATCATGGGGCTCATAGGTGGTTATAAGAAGCTAAAATTCCTGTCCAGCTTTTAGTGTAAACGGCGAAGCACATGCGTATCTCGGTATAAGAACACATGTCTGTTTGGGAGAACCGAAGGCTCGCAAGGGACATCATATAGCGAATGTCCTTCTAGCAGCAGTATGAGATGAGCCCTACGAGGACGCACCCTACTTTCTGTGGATGAATTGGACGTGAGCGCCTGTCGTCGCCATAATCACAGCCAGAAACGAGATCGCATCGCAAACAGTGTAGCAGCGAATCTACTGCTGTACGTTTCGTGTCACTGTACTACCGTGTTTCGTGGTTGTACTAGTCTTTGCAACCATTGGCAAGAAAGCTTTTTGTTCAGGGGAGTTACCACACAGTACAGTATCCACCACCCGTTCTGGATGGACCCAGAGTTGTCGGTCAAGCTTAATTTCCGCCACACGTACCCATGAAGTCTGAGTCAAGAGGACTCTCGCCGCGCGTACACCCAGCCACACATGCCACCTACCTGACGTGGCTGGCGCAGATATGACAGCGGCGCAGCGCCTCCGTTTGTGATGTGTGAAGTTCTGGCCGACGTCTCAAAGGTAATCACCTAATATACAATAAACATTAAGAGTAACTTTCGACTTGATTCCGGAATTTGAACGGGTAGTTATCTCCGGGAACCCGGAATCTTTACAAGTGCGTGAGGGGAGTTTTCCGCACGAAACACAATTCTTGGAGGGGGCATTCTGGGAATGCCCCAAACCCCCCTTCCGCCGTGGATTCGATGTCCTCTGGGGCGTAAAACTTTTGAAGTCCTCACGGACAGAGATATTTTCCCCCAGCCACTCCGACAAGAAAATCTCGGCGAAGTCCATCACAGCCAGAGACATTCCCACACCCCTCGCAACAGAGCAATTTTCGCGAAGTTCCCCCACACCCCTGGTACATTCGACCAGGAATTTTCGCTAAATCCTCCGAATCCGGACCAAACAGAGTGCGGGGATGGGGGGTTTCCGGGAGAAGCAGGGTATTGAGAAACCTTAGCGTCAGCCCTGGTTCTGACGGTTGCTGCTGGCGCTCCATGCCTGCTTCCGTCCAAGACTGTCGGGCGTTATTGGTGCACTACAGTACATCATAACGCCCGACATGTGTACTGTATTGCACTTACTGTAGGGTTACAGGTTATCGTCGATTGGGGATACCCCTCGCACCCAGTAATGGACTGTTTTGAGGCTCGCACAGAAACTTCGAGAACCATAATCCACGTGTCATTTTTGCTGGACGAGAACAATGTTCTTGACCACTTGCACTCTGCACGGCGTGTCCTAAGCCTACGCCGGAGTGCGGTTGAGTGAGGTTGATTGCTCATTCGAAGAATAAAATAGCTCTGTTACAAGGTTCAGTAGGGTATTGGCAAAAAACGAACGCTAGCACACGTCCTCGGCAATGTTGGATCTCCGTTTGGCTTCTCACGCGAGTACATCTTGCAGTTCAAACCGTACTTGGCAGTTCTAGAACTCAACCAGACCCTCATGAAACGCCATGAAACACACTCAACCGCACTAAAGTGACCTGACGCACCCCATTACAGTACTGCTGCTCGACAACTATCACTCTACCCTCCCAACCTGCGCACACCAATTCTGCCTCCAGAAACCCTTCCTCTCCCCATTTCTAGATTGTGGCTACAATCGCGAGGTAAGCCTACCAGCGTCAGTTCGTTTCTCCTCTCTCTCCCTGTAAAGCAGGATTACCCCGTTCTAGCTCTCACCTCAGCATTCCCCGTTTGGAGTTGTCTAACTCAGTTCGGTTTACGCTGGCCGGCGACCATCACGCGCTGGTGAAGCCAGCTTTTGGCACAACCTGTTCTCCGTTCAGAATCACCTCGATTCTCTTTCCTGATTCTCATTCCTGATTCTCATTCCTTATTCTCATTCTCACAACTGCGCAGCAGCGTACTCTAGCGATTTCGTGGAATCGGGTTTAGCGTACTCTGGTCGCAAGCCGTAGTAGATTCAAAGAACGGACGCCTGCTCTGGAATCGGGTTTAGCGATATCGTGGAATCGGGTTTAGCGTACTCTAGCTCACTCTGGTCTCTAACCGTACCAGTTTCAAAGAACGGACCTTCATTTATTTCTCGCACCGATGCCTGCTCCGCCGCGTGACGCTCCCGACGGCATCGGCGAAAGCGTTTCGGGCGACGCTTTCTGTGGTAACCGCACGATTTCGCAGCATGAATTCGTGACTCAACGGATCATGGCCCTTTTCCCCGGTCCTGTTGGTTCTGGTAGTTCCGTCCCAGAAAATTCTGCCGCCGACTCAAAAGCTGCTGGTTCCAGAGGTCCTGTCGCCGGAAGCTTTTCCGCGAATACTACAGCGATTGGCTTAACCAGAGCCGCAAATATGGGTGTCAATTTCGGTCCTCTCACTGATGCGGCCGTTCCCACTGTTACCGGGGAGCGCTATATCGCGTACCCGAAAAGCGCCGGGCTCCAGCAGGTCGATACGGAATTTGCGCACCGTCCGATGCCGCAATTGGGCGGCGGATCAAATCAAGCTTCATCCAATCAAGGCGCGTCAGTCTGGCGATATCACTCTCCTGGCAATATCACCTCCGCCGTCTTTCCGCGGCCCGTCCTGCCCCATTTCCCCCTGGAGCGCGTGCCGCCTGTCGCAGCCACATCGCGCCCTTCACGCCCTGCCGGCGGGTTTCCTACCGGCGGGTTTCCTGCCGTTAGCAGTGACTCTAACGGGGCCGAGCCTCCAGAAACGGGCGAAGCGGCAGCAGACACGAGCATTTTAGGAGCGCGTGGGCTGGCGGAACCGGCGGGGGCGCATAGTGACGATCAGCGGGCCGCTTCCGCGCCTGCGGCTGGGGGCGCGGAGCGTGGCAATGGCAATCAGTGGACAGCTTCCGCGCGTGGCGCGCACGCCAACGCTCCTTTCGCATTTTCTGCTTTTGAGTCGACTCAAGCGCACCGTACAGCTTCCGCGCTTGGCGCGCAGCCAATCGCCCCGCGCGTAGACTCAATGTTTTCCGCCCGCGAGCCGGGGCACGCCGCCACGCCTGACGCCGCTACTGCGACCTTTGACTGTATGCGGCGCTCCTTTGGTCCGTCGGCGCGGCTCGAGTTTGACCTTAATTCGCCAGCAGCGGAGGCGGAGCAAGAGGCGCAAGAGGCACGAGTGGGGGGAGTGGGGGAAGGGGCGCGAGAGGCGCAAGAGGCGCAAGTGGCGCGGGTGGGGCAAGAGGCGCAGCTAGACTGGTACAGGACAGGTGGTAGCGATTTTGCCGCTATTGCTGGTGGCAATTTTGCTGTTAACGGTGCTGCTGCTGGTATTGGCGATGGGGCTGCTGGTAGCTCTGATGCTGCTGCTGCTGCTGCTGCTGCTGGGAATGACAATGGTGCTGGTAATGGTGCTGGTAATGGTGCTGGTAACGGTCCTGTGGCTGGTAACTCTGTTGCCGCCGCTGCTGCTGATGGTGTTACCGATGGTGGGGGTGAGAGCGATACCAGCACAGTCAGCAACGGCACTGGCAGCTGTGACGACAGCAGTGACAGCGACGGCAGCATATTTGGGACAGGAGATAATGATGATGATGATGACTGCGAGACGGAGAGTAGCTGCCAGCTGAGCTGGCAGCAGGTGATTGGCGAGAGTGTGGGCGAGAGCGAGTGGGAGGAGGATAATGGTATGGAGGAGGAAAGTGGCAGGCGGGAGGAGGATGTAGCGTGGATGGTGACGAATGGAGAGGACGTGGGCGAGAGGGGAGGGGAGGGGTTACGGGAAGCAGAGGATGGCAGAGAGAAGAGAACGGAAGAAAGTGGCAGGCGGGAGGAGGATGTAGCGTGGATGGTGAAGAATGGAGAGGGGGTGAGCGAGAGGGGTGGGGAGGGGAAGACTGAAACGCGAGCAGCAGAGGACGACAGAGAGAATGATATGGAGGAGGAAAGTGGCAGGGGGGAGGAGGTGGCGTGGATGGTGAAGGATGGCGAGGGGGTGGGCGAGAGGGGTGGGGAGGGGGAGACTAAAGTGCGAGCAGCAGATGGTGGGGAGGAGGAAATGGGCAGCTGGGAATGGGAAACAGCAGCAGCAACAGCAGCAGCAGCAGAGGTAACGGCAGCAGCAGGACCCGCATTAGCACTAGGAGCAGCAACGGGGAGAGCACGAGCTGCAGTTGCGGTTGGGGAAGGAGGCGTGCAGCAGGAGTATTTTGAGTCGACTCTAATTGTACCAGCCGAACAGCTGGTTGAGTTTATGGACGAGAATCAAAGGGATGGTGATGGTCTCGGATGGAGGGGGCATGGTAGTGAGGGGTGGGAGGAGATGAGGGAGAGGGAGATGAGGAGGCGATTGGGAGTGAGAAGCGGAGGGGGGGAGGGGCAAGGATGGAGGGAAAGGCAGATGGCCACAGTCAGGGCAGTTTGGATGTCTGAGGAAGCTTTCTCCATGGCAGGAGCAAGCGTGCCTGCTAGTGAGTGCTCCCCAAAAAAATATGATCTTCGTATGTTCCTTTAGGCCAAGCATCTATTCTTTTGTATAGAGTACATCATATACAAATAATTCGGTGAAGTATGTTGCCACACGGTGAGGTACAAAAAAGCTTCATGCTTTAGATATGATATTTTAGGCACCATCTAAATTGTAAGGGACATACACTTTCGTCAAAGTCGTATTATTTGCTCTTTCGAACCAATGCCTTTACAGTGTCATTTTCCACAGAGCTTCATAACTGTACAGAAGTTCCTATTGGGGTGCTTGTCCCTATGCGTGAAATTTGGTCTTGTTCGGCTGGCTTTTTTTCCGGTTTTCAGGGCAGACCATGCCAAAGAAATATGCGTGCTCTGATTGGATAGCCAAGCGCCTGTCTGTCAGGGTTATGGTCAGTAAGCCGTGGGATCGGCTCCTTGCGTCGATCTGACGGTTTACAGGTACAGATACGAGGCGCCCGTTTTACACATACGCGCATGCGCGGTGCGCTTCAGCCCCTCCTTGTTGGACAGGGGAGGGAGGGAAGGTCTTCGTTTCCAA